GAGAATAAACACTAGACATTTACATGGTTCGGAACTTGGCTTATGTTCACGTGTAGAGGGGGAAAAAAAGTAATCACAGGCTAGAAAACAAAGGAGTACCATATACTAAATCCCGAACTCCTCATAAGTACATAGTGAGGTATTACACAAACGAGTATGAAGTACTCAAACCAAAATCCAACTAGTGAGACTCTCAAGACAAAACAAGTACTCTGTGGTTAAAGATTTGTTAATGAATTCTTCGAGTGAGGCACATACCATCTGTCAGCATATTTCTCAGACTGGCAACAATCGTTCAACCAGGTAATGAAACTGATGATGCTTATTAGTTGAATTACTAAAAATACCCTGCCAAGAGTTACAAATATATATTTAATTTAAAAGATGACATGAATTTAAATTACTGAAGGTTAAGCGAACTTTTCAATTTTGAAGAAAAACGTGCAGTAAAAAGTATTATTTAACAAAACAGAAAAACAAAATACTCAATACATGGTTATGGACGAATAGTTATCAGAAGCATTAATCATACCCGGCACCAAAATGTGCAAGCTGCCCTGCCAGATTATAATGCATTAGGCTCATGATTTACAATTTAAAACTAAATTTGCTACAGAAAAGATTAAAATTAAGCTATTAGTAGATGTAAAAATACCATATAGTGAAATGAATTCCGGAGGAACAAGAAATGATAATATGATCAGTGAAACCTTCATCACAATCTTGGCAGACCACCATCCAGAGTGCCAACATTCTCTACGATCATCTAGCTTTGAAGTGCCAGCTGTTGAAAGAAACATTGCAAAATAGAATGTCTGTATATAATGTCAAGGCTTACTGCAATTTACCTCATAAACATGAAAGATCATGTCATTTGAATGTTTCACGAACCTTGTCATTTAGAAAGGAAAAAGAAAAAGAAAGTGTAGCAGCTCATATCTTCATTTGGCATCTTGTTTAACAGTGTCTCAAATTTTAGTTGAAGTCCAAATCTATGTATTGTATGTAAGAACGCAAAACTTTCCCGCCCTACTATTTTTGATGGAAGAAATAGAATAAGGAACATAACTTTCCTACTTTATCTCCAAAAGAGAGATCTAGACTGGATTTCTACGTTACTGTAATTTCTTCAAAAGAAGTTTAGCTAAGAGAATATAATTTAAGAACATTTTCTAGTAGAGAATTCAAATATTTTGGATCTCAGGAGTTTTTATGACTTTACAAGAAAAACTCTGGCATTTGCCAATCATTGTCGAGAAAATATGAAGTATTACAAGGATACAAAGCATCCCAAGCTAACTCTCAGAACTCCTTCAGCACCCAAGCAGTCTTTGATCCATTTGCTTCCATTTAGTCCTGCACACACAACACGTTAAGAATTCTTCGTGTTCTGTAGCCGGATCATACAGTCATCTCAGTATATGGCGCAAAATTTACATATGAAGTAATGCGTCTTCCATTTAAGCAGTGAAAGATAAATATATATCAAATTCTTTTAAATGAGAAAGTCTTGCCTTTCATTTCTGTTAAGGCACTGTGTCCATAATCACGAACAGCCCACGCAAGAAGATTTGTAATGAGAAACATCAAGCCGTAGGCATATCTAGCCATCCAAGGATTTGAGCCATTGCGAAATTGATCAAACCAGGAACCATTTATGATCCTGGCATACATAGTCTTAGTGCTGTTGGTTGTGCTCTCCATTGCTCCTTCTGTATTTGGCATGACTGATTTTTTATAGTACAGAACAATTGGTATTCAAGTTTCTAGCTCCTCTTCACCTATGCAAACACAATGTTGAATGTTTAGTAGTAAGCCCAAAAGTCAGATAATCCCTGCTGGCTGCTGTCAAATGAGATATTGTGATTTCCCCACGCCATGTTTACGGATAGATTAACTGCAAATTAATTTAAATTACGACTTAAAATTAAAATGGGACATTCAATTATCACTGCCCATCACTTCCCAATAGGTCAATTTCTTCAGATGTTTCGGCCGTAAACGGAGGCACATTGTCAATAAATGTGAGCTTAGAAGCATTTTTCTGAAAACCCATTCTTAAAGAAACAATTTCTTCTGGTAGTACTCAACAACTATGCAATCAGAAATTCTTCAAGTAAACGGCTCTTTTTGGAAGCGTGTTTTATTCTTCTACCAACCACACCAATATATCAGTTTCTTCACAGTATGTATTTAATATTTTTTCAGCATTTTTTCCTTTTTATCAAAACAATAATCATTTACATCGTTGCATTCTATGCAGCCCCTTTGCCTCAACTTA